GAGGAACAGAGGAAAGACCTGGATATGCCAACGAATACTCTAACTTTTTAACACGCTTTTATTATCTTCACCTGTTTGTATATATGTATGTTTGTTTGTAACTCTCAAGCTAGGGATTTGTAGTTGACAGAATTATCGACATTATTGCTTGCTTCTAAAGCACATCGAACTTAAAAGTTGAAAATATATTTTTTAATAAGCTTAAACCAATAATAATCGAAAACTACCAGTATTATTGTGAAAAAAGCGTGGGCGCTTTGTGCCATATATTTGTATATCAAGCGCCCCTCGATTTTTTCACAATAATACTAGTATTTTTATTTCGTTATATTTTTAAATCTTCAGTTCGATTTTCTTTAAAAGCGTGTTTTTTAGTTTTTTAAACTATATTCATTTTTTAAGATACAGACGGAAGAGAAAGTCTATCAGAAACAGATACTTTCAATTATTCATATTATATCAGTTTTTATAGTTTTTTGTATCCAAAATGAATTTCTGTACGTGACCTACATGTCTTTGTGTGTAGGTATATATACATTCTATTTTTTCCTTCTTTGGAGAAATCGAAAACTAACACATTCCAAAAAACTTCTCATCACTAAAGGAAATTCCTGAAGCTGAGATTAAATTAACTGGTGCATGGAATCCAAAACAAGCACTTTTCCCAATAACCAGAAATGCACTACTCTTATTGACGCGCGTTTCACCAACACCGTTGGCGTTTTTAGGTGACGAAAAAAACTCGACGCCAGAGGTTCAAGTTTTACCTTTTATAAGTGTATGGAACTTTTTTTGAATAGGTCATTGAGAAGAAACAGTTTGGACTCTTCCAGTGACAGTAGTTCGGTGTTTTGCAAGTGGATCAAATTTTAAAGTTTTCCATAAAGAAACTTTTAGATTTTCACCTGGAGATTGAGAGTTTTTTTTGTAAGTGAAATGTTACGTCAGTACTTTTTCACGTTGTGTAGCATTCCCGTGAAAGATATCTGCTTCAATTCCATTGAGAATTACACCTACGTACACCTACTTGTGATCTGAAATGAAACAAAATCATAATCATTTCATTTGTCGTTTATCTCATCATCTCTGTCAACCTTATCATCAATTTCTTTAGTCTACTTCGTTGTTCCAAATTTCCTTTGGCTGCACTCTTTATTCCCATCAATTTTGTTTCACATCCTTTTTCCATCTCATTGTTCTCTGCATTGTCTTGTAGATGTCCAAATGATTTTTCTCTGACCCACACAATTTTTACATACTTTCTTATGTGGCAGTTATTTTCTGCCAATTTATCATACCCCTAATATTTTACCAAAAACATTTCCGACGTTATTATCACAGTGTGTTGAATTGTATTTTCATGTACTTTATCGAGATTTCCAATGTTTCCTTATTACAACTATTGTTTTCTTTATGTTCGCTATCAAGTTCTGTTTTGAAAGTACCTTATTCTAAGTTTGTTTATTATCTGAGGAGAAATGCCTGGTACACAGACGGTTGGATCATACTGTAAAATTTTCTTCCTCCTTCCAGGCGTTAGATCTATACTCGGTGACATGAGTCTCGGAAATTAAAGACACCCTAAAACTCAAAATATCAATCCTCTCGAATACTTTCATCAACAACGTTGGTGTTCCCCAGGGATCCATAATGTTTCCAATCCTCTTTTATTGTATACAAAAGACTTATTGGAAAAAAAACAAGAATCCAATATATTGCTCTGCTGTCGACAGCACACTTGTTTCGTCATTCCCTTTGTATTCCAGGACATCGGCTACGGAGGCACATCTTCACCGGCAGCAGGAGGTTGCATATCTTAATGAGGATCTAGACGTGATTTTGAATTGGGGTGAAAGTAACCAGGTTCTATTTAATGTTACAAAAATCCAGGCATCGGTTTTCTCGAAGAAGATAAATGTCTCCGTACCGGATATAATAATGTCAGGTCAGACAATTCCGCTTTCTGCTTCAATAAGTTTGTTAGAGGTTAAAATGGACACCAATATATCTTGGCACAATCATGTCGCTGAAATTGCAAAGGCTCCTTCTCAATAGCTTGTAACTGTGTTCCGAACCAGAAAATTGTACACACCTCAGCAACTTTTGATGCTTCATAAAGCTCAGATCAGACCTTTTTTGGAGTATTGTTCTCATGTATGGAGCTCTGCCCCCAAACATACCCTGAAGTCGCTGGATTCCATCTAAAAAAGAGCCATCCGCCTGCTGGAGACGCGAACATCGCGTAATACCTTAATAGCCTGGAACATCGAAGAAAGGTTGGAGATTTGTCTCTCTTCTATAGATACTTGGCATATTTGATTCTACCAGGAGCAGTACATATCAGAAATACGCGACGGCTGCTCATAGTTTTGAGGTTCAACTCAGTATACCTCGAACTTCACTGTTTAAAAACTCTTTAATCTGGAGAACTGCGTTTATGTGGAATAAACATCCTAAGAACGTTTTTCCAAATTGATTTAATCTACAACGATTCAAATCCAATGTGAATCGCTACTTTCGCACTGGCACCGCTCTGAGAGTGCCTTAAGGATTTTCCTTTAGTGCTTGTGATGTGTCCTTAAATAAATCCTGAACCAGCAGTGGGGATACCAAAATCTTTGGAATTCTCACAAGGTGAATTATGTCTAGCTCCAATAAAGGATGTGTTCAAACTCATACAGTCGTTGTTGGAAAGAGCGCCATGAGAAGAAAGGAGAAAAAAACGCAATAAAATTGATAGAAAAGAAAAGAAAAGTGAGACGTTTCTATGAAAATAAATACTTTTTCAGACTTTCACAAACTATTTCTTTAAATTTTTTTATTTCTCAGACTTTTCAACTAATACTCTCAAAATATTTCTTCTTTACACTGAGTACATATATACCAAATCATTTCTGAACTTTAAAATCAAATATCGTAAATGTTTTATGCTTATTTTATTTTTCAGTTTTTGCGTATTTCTCACCTCTCTGCTGTGTTCCGTACTAAAAAATATATTGTTTGCTGTTCTTCATTAACTAGTGCTGTTTCAAAGTATTATCTTCATTACCTCGTTTGTAATTATCTGTCCTTCATTTGTAGTGTCTCTAAATAGAATCAAAATATCATTCAATTGATTCTAGAACCATTTACCAAACTCTGTTCAATATCACTGTATATTATTATTTAAATAATCAACTAAAGGACCTATCAGAAAATTTTGGAAATGATTCAAACAGAATAAGCTGTTTTTATCCACTCCCAAAATTATCATATCCACTATCAACGTCAAGATTTAATATCATCCACGCGGAACTGTCACACTGTCCAAATTTTTTTTTTCTGATTGAAAAACATACCGTAAAAAAATATATTCCATTATAGAATCATTATGTACGTTGTGGATTTTATGATGTTGTTTTTGTAGTAAAATTAGATTGTATAATGGTTTTAAATCATGGAAAATCAATGATTACCTATTCCCGTGAAAAATACTATGTTGAGAGTAGAAAAAACTTCCTGACATTTTATCCTGACATTTCATTTCAAATATTTAAAAAAACATTTCATAGAAACTAGAAATAAATAATTAGAGTTCATTGGATGTAATTAACAGTTAATTTGTTCATTATAGCTATATACATACGTAAAACATAAGGATAAAAGAAGTGAGTCGAATTATTTCTCAGTGCGGGTAATTGCTAATTCTAAAAAAGATTTTCCTACCCGCAGACCACTTCAAATAAAAATGTGAAATAAATTCTTCTGTTGACAATAGCCTTTCATGGGCAGGCACACATTGATTTTATTTCACATCACTTTCGAGGTACGGCAACTCAGTTTACAGTAATGTAATGTTGGTTATCTACTTGAACGCAAAAATTAATGTCTGCAGCATGAGAAGTGAAATCCAACATTTAACGTTGAACAGTTTGTCTACTGCTACAGAGATGGCGCATGCTTAAAGAAGTGTAAATCCTCATACAATGGAACTGATCTCTTTTAGTCACACTTTCACTAATCTAGTCAAAGGTGGCGGCACGTAACAATGTGTTGAATATAAAATCTTTTAAATCCATCCATCATAATAATTATTATCACAATTTTTACAATCACTTTTATTTAGGACGCGTTTCGTTACACAGTAGCTTCATCAGTTGAACTGGAAACTTGAAACTGAAGCAATGGCCAAGTAATCAATATGCTAATATATGAATAGTACTGTAACATTATTACCAGAGGGGTGCAACATTCTCCATGCTTAGATACAGTTGGGTCGACGAAATAAAATAGGTACAGGCGTCATGAACTGACCATATTAAGTGAAAATCGCCTGAAATATTCATTTCAGGCGTTTCATGATTTGCAACACTAATATTTGACATGAAATAGTAAGATGAAGAAGTGTATATTATTGTTTTTAAATAGTAACTACTTATTGTCTTAAGAGAAAACAATATCATCTTCACGTCAGTAGATGTGGATGTCATATGACCAAAACACTAAATTATTTATTTTAGCGCATTTAACGGGATTTAAAATTTTATTTACAATTACAATAATTTTTCTGTCTTCTTCTTAATATTATGTCTCAAATATCAGTGTTGCCAATCATGAAACGTCTCAAAGCTATAAAACCATTTTTACGCGAATAAGGTCAATTGACTTATATTCGATACGGAGTGGTTGCCAGGTTTTACATTTCATTGTTGGCAATCATGAACGTATTTTTTTTCTTAGACTACAGCAAAAATACTTTCCTACTGACTTGATACAACTGTCTGACAGTATAATATGGTGTATTTTCTCCAAACAGACATCTGAAAATTCATAGGTAAGTTTTAGCAATCTTTCAAAATCACCCAAAAACTGCATTATATGTAATACACCTCTAATTATCAGATATTCGGCACTGAAGATTTTATTGATAATACGCAGTTCACACTGGTGGTATCACAAATTTGGTGCTATCACAAATATTCCAAAGGAGCGCCATTGTGTTTAGCAAACAAGTACGTCGCTTACGATAAAAATATGAAAGACTCACCTTCTAAAACATAAACAGTACTGCCAACATCCCCCTCCTGAATAATGATGCTCCCCGTTTTGTATTCTTCAGGGTACATGCAATCCACGATCTCCCTTATCTGTGTCAGTTCCAGATTCTTCATAAAATCGTTGTCGAGTATGGCGGATTTTATCAGTTCACGGGAACTGAAAGAAAACATTTTCGATGAAGGATTTTATTGGACATGAATTAAATGATAGATACTATGGCTCGTTAATTGATGAAAATCAAATATGTTTTAAAATACCCTTTGCGCCTTTGAAATAAAATTCCTTATGAAAATTCCATAGTTATCATCACGGATAAATTATAATGAGAATCAAGGAAATTTGAGAAGGAATTTAAATTGTATTACTTTTAGAATATCTTCTTTCAATATCAGCTTGGGTAAAGCTCTCTGTATAATTCCCAGTTTCAAAAATGCATATGAATCATGTAAATAATGGATAATATATACATGCATATTTTTATATAGTAGCTGAAAAAGTAAATGCGCCACTGGAATCAAAGAAGTCGCCCCGGAGCGCCAATACATTTTTGTTGTTGTTTTAAAATTAATTTCATGATTTGTATTTTAGAATTATTGGAAAATGAATAGGTCCATTATGATATGAGTGTTGAAAGTAAAGTTTTATTTTGTGACTAAAAAAGTTTGCGAAACGAGCGTAGCTCGTTTCGCACTATTTTCATGTTATCGAGTTTGCTGTGAAGTGGCCGTGTCAGGTGACGCCAAATCACCTGGTTACCAACCAACAGTATTGTTTACAGCTCAAGCGTTTTATTGAAAGTCACATTTAAAGTTTTTGTTGGTGTTTATTGTCTTGCATAATGAAAAACAGTAGTGAGGAATTGTGTGTTCCTGACGATATTGAAGAGGCTGCAAAAAGAGCTTGAATTGAATTGTTACAAAAAAAAATCGGCTCAGCAGTACGACATCGCATATTCTGATTTTATTAGCTGGTGTAGACTTAAAAACGTCGAAGGAAAGGTAAGACCTCGTTAATTCTAAGCTCGCACAAGTTTCGACTTCTGTTTTTATGCGCCACCCGTATTGGGGGAAGATAGCTTTATGTTTCTACATTTGAAAACTTTAAAATAGGTAATCTTATCACGAGATATATGACGTCACATATAGGGGGCTAATTTGATACAAATAAGGGGGTTAATTTGATACAAATATTGGGGCTATTGTGATACAGCTGAAGGGGCTTTCTTGATATTGCAAAAACTTGAAAATTGTGCATTTTATTAGTTTTTGTAACTTTCTTGGATTTCAACTTGTTTTGTTTTGTGAGGAGTGGGAGAGGAGTTAATAAGAAACATAAGAAAACAACCACATCAGGCACCCATAAAACCCAACCAGCGGAAAATGCTACCCAAGACGAAATAACAAGAAAGGAAGAGAGTCAGATAATTCAAGAAAAACAAAGAAAACAAAAGAAGCGCAAGAAAATAACGGTTTCGTCAGACAGCGAATCAGATATCCCGAGTGAAATTGATTTTGTAGACGAGGATAGCAGTGATTCCGACATTATACAAGCCATGGAGAGAGAAGAAGAGTCAGACTTGGAATTTGAGAAGACTTTAGGAAATTGCAATGGTAGTGACATGCATGACCAATATACTACAATTAGAATCAATGACTGGGTTGTAGTTAAATTTGCAACCAAGAAGAAAGTGTTGCATTACGTAGGTCAAGTTATGGATATTGAAGCTGGTGAACCAAGAGTAAAATTCACACGAATAAAAGAGACACATGAAGATACCACAGTTTTTTGATAGAAAGAGCCGGAAGATGTGTCATTTATTGAAAATGAAGATGTGGTAGAAAAACTTGCTGAACCGGCTTTGGGAAGGAGAGGAGAATTGACTTTCAACTCGCCTTTTGAATATTATAATACTCAATAATTTCATACAAGAAACTGAAAAAAATAATGGAATGTTAAAAATGTTGAGTTTTTTCAATAAACGGTGCTTTAGTTACTTTTTCCAAAGGAGTTTTTTTTAGAGGAAAAAACATGAACAAGACACGGTTGTATCTTTTATATTCTTTTGAATATTATAATACTCAATAATTTCATACAAGAAACTGAAAAAAATTATGGAATGTTAAAAATGTTAAGTTTTTTCAATAAACGGTGCTTTAGTTATTTTTTCCAAAGGAGTTTTTTTTTAGTGGAAAAAACATGAACAAGACACGGTTGTATCTTTTATATGACTGAAGACAAAAATTCTAAAAAATAACTGGTATCACATTAGCCTCAGAGCTGTACCATTTTAGTCTCGTCTTACATTCATTGACGATATTGAATGAAATACAATGCTGTATCACTTAAGTCCCATCTTCGTATCAAATTAGCCCCACCAGGTGGGGTTATTATGATACACAGTTTTTAATTTTTTTTCAGCATTGGTACTGCAACTACATTTTTTGTGCACCCATAAATAAACTAACCGATACGAATAATATATCCCAGTATTTTTTCAAAATGGCTTAATGTATATGGTTAGGTATTATAGTGAAAAGTGTATATTTTTGTATCATATTAGCCCATATTAGAGGTTTACAAATGAGGCGCCAGATGAAAAATATTCGATGATAAAAGTTGCTACTATTTTCGGAATATATGGAGCCTGCCGGCGTGAAGATCTGTGTATTTATTGATAGAAGACAAAAACGAAAATAGGTCGTTCTTTTTGCATTGTTGGAAAAAGCATTGACTATTTTAATAAATACGTTGCATTGCGCCCTTCTGTTATCAATCATTAACGTTATTTTCTAAAATACTACAATTATAAATGCAGTGCCAACCCAGTTGGTATAAATACGTTAGGGAACCTCCCGGAACCGAAGGAATATATAGGTCACTGTTTCAGAAGGTCTTTTGCTTCTTTGCTAGCAGAATCAGGAGCAAATATAACGGATATTGAGAAGCACGGAGGATGGAAGTCTACAACAGTACCTGAGGGTTACATCGAATAATCTATTTCTTATAAAAAGTCTATTGCTGAAATAATAATCCCAACAGCTAGCTCCAGCGTTACAGCATCGTCCTCTTCACCTCAAGAATTAAATATGTTAATGCCCATGAAATTGTCAACTCAGATAGTTGAAATATACTACAAGGCTCTTCAACATCGCAAGGTATCAATATCAGCTTCGAAGAAATCTTGTTAAAAATACTTTTAACACTAGTATTAAAAATATTTTCAACACGATAGTTTGTAAACAACATCTTTTAATACTCTTGACAACCATTAAAAATGTCACTTTCAGTGACAGTTGTACAAAAACGTATTTTTCAGAACTCTGCATTATTAGTTCGAAGAAAATTGTTGCAAATTTGTCAGTACGGCCGTACATACTTATGTACAAACAGACAACTCTATATCATCATGTTCTCAATAAAATAGCACTCATTTTCATGCAGGCTTTATTTATCAGCCAGATAAATATATATTCCTAGTATAGAATTATTTGTTTATATTTGTCATCGCAATAGTTACACCAAAAAAATATCCCACCAAAAGTTTGAATATTTTATAGGCTTCATACTTTCGATAGGTTGAAATTTGTTCATTAAACATATTACACTAATAAACATACTATAAACTAATTCTACGTTTACTAACTCAAAACATTTGGTTTTTTAATGAATGTATCAGAAATGAAGTACACCTCAAATTCACCTTGTTGAATAAGACAAATAACACAAGCAGATCAGCTTGAGAGGGAATCAATCATGGCAGAACGAAATGGAAGAAGACAAACAGAAAATATTAATATTGCGAGAGGAACATTTTCAAGTTCTATCTCAAGGTATTCACACTGAATCATCGAATCTCATATTTGGTTTCTGAGAATTCTTCCTAATCACGTAATATTTTCTGATCATGAGCAGTCCTTTTTAATTGATTTTCATAAGTTATTTGAAAAAATAACGCTATTAATTCTTGTCTTATTGCTCATATTTTTGACAATCAGAAGCTTTTACCAAGTAAGTAAGTAAAGTAAGTAAGTAATTTTATTCATTTCATGTCATTCAATAATTCAGTTACATGATTTGATTTTCTTGCGATTTACAATTCAAATTGTCATGAATAAAATCCTATCATAGAACCATGTATTAGACAACCTAAGCTAGGCTTGTGTCGTGGCTGTTATAGACTGATATTAGTTGTGTTATATAATATATAATAAAATAAATACATAAAAGCAAAAATAGGTCGTTTGGTTATATATTACTGTCTACCTTACTAGGTTTAAAACCGCAGTTGGAGAATGATGGCTAGAGGGAGGTAATAAGAAGAGAGAGAGCAGGTAATTTAGCTCAAACATTTTCAAAGATATCCTGCAATTGATCATAATGATTTCTGACGAAAACTTTCAATTCCTTCTTTAATTTGCAGTAATTATTGATATTCTCTATATGGAGTGGCAGCTTATTGTATAATTTCGGGGCTAAATAAGTTACAAATTTCTGGTTATGACTCAATCTACAGCGTGGTATTGTAATTGCTTGGTTGGAGGTCATTCGCGTATTATATTTATGTGTAATGATGTTAGCGGGATTACTACAAATCCATAATAAACATTTATAAGCGTATAATTTTCTGACTTTGAACATACCACTTTGTTCGTAGAGTAACTCTGTGGAATATCTGCTATCCTTCTTCAAGGCGATTTTGATCAGTGTGTTTTGTATTATGTCAAGATTCTGTAGTGATGTTCTGAATAAGCCATCTCATAAGATGCAGTATCTAATCATCTACTCCATCAAGGCACCGTACACCGTCTCTACTGAAGATACTTCTTAGTTGGTAAAATTTTCGAATTAGTTTGCGGAGTTTTTTACTATGTAGAAACTGGTCGATCATGACGCCTAAATATCTGATAGTATTTGTTTTACATATTCGGGAACATCCACAGTTTTGGTTTTCTGTACACGTATATTTGTGCATCGTAATAAAGTTTTCGTCAGGTTGGTCTTTTCTTGTTGAAACATAGTTTTATCTATGTTGAGACTACATAGATTATTACTTAGCCAGTTATATATCGTTTTCATTACTTTGTTTGCGTTTTTATATGTTTCATTTCAAGTTTATCCTACAAATACTATAGCAGTATCATCGGCGTAGGATAATA